CAGGTTACTTTGAGACAGTCATCCCAAATGCATTAGCGGAACTGTAAAAATCTGCCACAGAAGGAATGATGATCCATAGTCAGAAAAGTTACTGCAGCTTAAACAGGAAACCCTTCTGGTTCAGGACTGTCATAGCCACAGTTTGCAAAAAGTGCAGCTATTGATTAATGCAAGTAGTGTCAATTAGATGTACATTCCTGAGGTCTTTTATCTGTTGTAGCTTTTTCTTTTTCTTTTTCTTTTCATTACATCAGGTATATTGCCCTGTAAATTGTGTTAGTGGTACCAGGAATAAAAAATTAAGGAATTTTTAACTTTTCAAAAAAAGAAACAGACCAGAGTTTCCCTCACCTTTTGATAATACCTCCCAAAGCTGGTTCTAAGGAAAACCACGTGAGTGGTAAAGGCAACTGCTGACAGTAAGGTAACAGGCCCAGCAGCTCCGGGGCCCAGAGGATGTGGCATCTGGCCAGTGCTGGTAAGAGTGAGAGACCCCACTAAGTTCCAGTTTGCCCAGGCTTGGCCTGGTACTTGCTCAGCTGCTGAGTCTCCTTGTGCCCCCATCCCCTGACCTGTGGGGCATGAGAGTGAAATGAGATCACACACAAAGCAGGTTGAGCACAGGAAATGAGCCCCAGCAAATGAACAGCGGCCCATCATCCTTTAGGAGGCAGCTTAGGAAGGAGCACCCCTCATCCCTCATCACCCCTTCTGGGGACCAGTGTGTGAGGATGAGGAGGGTTGACTGTACAGTGTGACTGAGCACATTCCTTTCCCCTACCTCCAGCTCTCCCTTCACCTCAGGTCTCAAATCATCAAAGAAGCAGAGCTAGGAGTTGAACCCTGGTCCCAGGGACCCCGAAACACCTGCTCTTCCCAGCATATGATTCATGCTGGCTCCACATCCAGCTCCTGCCCTTGGGTAGGGCCCCCTGTCCCCCCAACTTTGATCTCCCATGACATACATCAAGGTCTGAGGGTCTCCACCTCCACATGTTCATGTCATGGGAACCCAGAGCCCCAAACCACAGTGGCGAGGATGTGGGATTGACAGCGTCCTCTTCCCTATATTCAGGTGACCAAAGAACTAAAGATAATGGGTCAATACCTCCCAATGGTGTGTGCTCTTCTCCAATTTTCTTCACACACACACACACCAAAAAAAATCAACTGGTTACACAAGACCCAGAAGGCTAGAAAAGTTCACTTGAAAGTAATTGATATTTTACAAACATCTCCAAATGGAAGTGTGACCTCTGAGATAGGACCTCACATAGCAGAAAGGCAGCACCCTGAACGAAGCTCTCAGCATGCTCCCTTACACACTGGGGTGGATTGCCAAGTATGGGCCAGGGCTCAGGGCTGCAGTGACATTTGCAAAGCTCATTGCCATCCTTTCTCTGAGTGGGACCTGCACATCCCCTGGAGCATGGGAGGGAGAGCATGGGGTCAGTGACACTCACATTAGTTTCAGCCATCACAGCAGCGTAGTTGTGGGACCAGACCTGTGGGGCTGCAGTGCAGACAGTGGGCAATGGGGATTAGGAGCAAGAGGCAAGGTCTGAGAAGGGGTCCCTACTGGACCCCAGGCTGTGCATGGGTTTTTTGCTCTGTGTGCAACAGGAAACCATGGAGAGCTCTGAACAGAGGGGCAGCAAGGTCTGAGTTACATCCTCAAATTCTTCCTCAGGCTGCTGGGCAGAAAAGGAACAGTAGGTGGCCAGATGTGCTGGGGTTCTTGTTAGAACCCTTTGCAACACTTCAGGTTACCATAGTGGTGGCTGAAAAGGAGTCATTAGACATGGTCTGAATCTGGAAGTGTGGACAGAAGCTCTTAAGAGTTGGTTGGTAGAAGAAGGGAAAAGAGGAGTCATGGGCAGCTCCAAGGCCTGGAAATGGAACCATAGAATGAGTTGTGAACCTATCTCTTAAGATGATGAGACCAGCAAATTTTACCTCAATTCTCTCTGACCACCTGCTCCCCACAACCTCAGATCTATCTCCAAGGTAAACTTGATGCTTTGGCTTTGAGCCTGCCTGCTCTTTCCTAAAAATCTCATCCAGGAAGATGAGATCTAGCCAGCCAGCCATCCAATCATTCACTTATTCATTTGTATCATTTCACACACATTCATTAGCACCTGCCATGTGGTAGACATGGGTAACACTGTAGACACGATCAATTAAACACATCTTCTGCCCACAGGGAACTTATAATTTTAATGCAGACTAGAGACCAATCATCTATTCAGATATTTAGTCACTCAAAAACATTCATTGCCTTAGTTTTTGACAAGCAAGCATGGGGGCAGTGATTGAATTTGGTCTTTCCCTGAAGAAAGCTCTGGACAGTGTAGTGTCAGTCAGCCTCACTCCCTCATTCACTGAAGAGTCACCCTGAGCCAGGGTCTCAGAGAGGAGCACTGTTGGTGACCCAACAGTGGGCCCCTGGTGAGCCTCTCCAAGCAACCAGGCCTCCCTCTGAGCCCTGAAAGCCCCAACACCCACCCAGGCCTCCTCCTGCCTGCCAAGTGAGCAAGTTCTGGTGGCAGCTGCCACAGCCCACTGTCCCACCTCCCCACAGCATGCCGGGGGCTCACTCTGGTATTATCTTCCTACAGAAAACCATGAAGCCATCCATCCAAGCAGCCACCCTCTCAGCCATCTTCCCAGAACCTGTCTGACCGTTCTTGACACCAGCAAGTGCCAGAACCTGAGATGCATTCATTCTGGAGGCTTCTCATCCTCCTCGGATCACTGGCTTTGCCCTCAGCTCAGCACAAGCAGCTTTGGCCTGGCCTGGCCTGGGCCCACTCAGACAGCAAATCCACTCTGGTAAGAAGTAAGCTCATCCTGTGCTCTGCCTCCTGGCTACAGGGCAGGGAGGGGGAAACCAGACCCACCATGACTACTGAGTAACCTTGGGTCAGTCCCTTACCTTATCTTCTTTTTTCCTTAGGTCTCAAGTCCGCAAAATTCAGATTAGTTTCATCATATGTCAATTCATAGCACACATTGTTATCATGAATCACTGCAAGGTCCCTTTTTAATTTCCTCTTGTTATTTCCCCTTTCTCTGTCTCACATTCCCCTATGGGATGGGCAGGTATTGCAGTGTGTTTAATATGTATATTTAAATATGGCTGTATCTTTCACAGGCAGTGTTTTGATTTACAAAATTGTACTGCCACGTGTAGCTCATTCTGGTTTTTCTGTCTTGCTCCATACTTGCTGCTGACACTTTGCTCTAGCTGGTGCAGAGGGGTCCAAAAGGGTCATCTGCCTCAGCTTACTTAGCTGTTATCCTAGAGATGGACGCTTAGGTTGTCTCTGACTCTCCACTATTTGTGCACGACTCTGTGATCTTTGCCCTGCCCCTGTTAGAACATATGGGAGAAGTGCTCTGGGACAGACCCAGAAGGAAGATGGCTGGGCCAATGGTAGGTAGAAGCCTGATTTAACTCAAACTGCCCGAACCCTCTCTAGAATGGCTATGCTAGTCTACACTAGCTCAAGTAATAAATGGTCATTCCTGTCTCCCCATGTTCCCCACCACTGCGGGCCATCCACATGTGTCCATCTGCCAGCACCACCACAAGACCGGGCAGTTTAAACAACAGACATTTATTTTCTCCCAGTTCTGGAGGCTGCAAGTCCAAGTTCAGAGTGCCGGCAGGGTTGGTTCTGGGGAGGCTTCTCTTGCTGACTTGTAGATGGCCACATTTTCCTCACACTCTCTCAGGGAATTTCAGAGGAGGAGCTCTCCGGGATAGCTTCCTCACAAGGATGTCAGTCCAGTCAGATTAGGACCAACCTTATGACCTCATTTAACTTTTTTTTCCTTTCCTCCTCAAAGGTCCTATCTACAAACACAGTCACATGGGGATGAGGAGGGCGATACAGTATATAACACCATCTTTTTAAATTTTCTGTCAGTCTGAGGGGTAGTTAAGTGACACTTTAGCCTAGCTTTATCTGATATTGAGCATCTCATTATAATTTTGTTATCTGTTTCAGCTCTTTGAATTCCCTCTCCTTATCTTCTGTCCCTGTTTCTATTTACTTCCCTGGGTTTTTTTATCCTCTTTGATTTTGAGGAGGTATTAATTTATTCTTGATGTTAGTCCCTAATCAGATTTAAGCACTGTAAATATAATAGTTCCTGGGTATCCATGAGCCATGGATCTGGGACCCACCCCCACCTACCTGCAGACTGGCAGATGCTCAAGTCCTTATATAAAATGGGTCAATATTTGTACAGAACTTATGCACAGCCTCTCATGTACTTTAAATAATCTCTAAATTACTTACAATACCTAACACAATGTAAGCCCTATGTAAGTGATTGTTGTTTAGGAAATAATGACAAGAAAGAAAAACACCATGGGTGTCTAGCATTCACAAATTCCCAAGTGGTACTAGCATCATGCATTAAGAATTGCTAAGAGGTCTAGGCATCCCTAGAGTTTCACTCTATCCTTGAAACTATTTGTTTAATGCATGTCTCCTACTAGATAGGAAAATCGTGTTCTTAGTGCCCAACACAAGAACTCACACCAAGGAAATTCTTGATAAATATTTATAGAATAATTTGTATCAATATTCCTCAAAAGAATACTGTGAGCTAGGTGTTATTATTGCCCAGGGAGTATTAAGACCCAGGGAGACAACAGAGCCAGGATCTGAACCCAAGTTTGTGACTACAGAGACACTCTCTTGTTTGTAGATGACAGAAACAAAGGGTACGGAAAGGAGAGCTGAGGCCTGGCCCCGGAAGAACAGGAGATACACCGCTGGTTTCTGCTGCTCTGCAGTTACCCAGAGTTCTTAGTGTCGTACCTGGTCCTAGGTAGGGCAAGTCACTGAAATAAATGTGCCCTGTAGCAAGCTCTAAGGTTTAATGAGGCTGGGCCACCATCCTGGGCAGAAGGGGCTAGAAGCCAGAGAGGCAGAGCTTAAGCATATTTATAGCTTTGAAAGTTCCCTTCCTTTGGGAGTTCATTCTTTTCTGCTAGAAGCTGACTTGGTTCCTGCAATTTATTCAAGCATGGGATGATTTGCACTTACTCTGTCTGTATTCACCTATTTTTTTCTATTTTTGTCTTCAACCAACATTTATTGTGGTCTCTATCTTGTGTATTAGCTATGGGCTCTAGACGCAGAGAAAGAGTACAGGAAGAACTCGCCCAGAATAGCTTTTTGCACTGCTGTTGCCTGCCAGGCTCTCTACAGCATTTGGTTTTGTTTCACCTATCAGTCTTGCAAAACATGATTACAGCTGAAGAATGTAGCTCCCAGCAGGGGAATGAGACTTGGGCGATCTCTCAGCAGGAAGAGGGTGCACCTGCCAGCACCACAGGCTTCCCAACTTCACACACACACACACACACACACACCCCGTGTTTTCCACAACACTGTATGGTATCACTGGCCCCTTGTACCTTTCCAGTTATTGTGCAAGGCCTCATGAACCACAATGCAGAGGACCAAATCCAGAGCATCCACTTCCTGGACAGTCTGAATGATTCAAGGCAGATGGTCCCTGGGATGGTGGGCTGGCTGATTGGTGGCATGAAACTCCAGCAGCAGCAGCAGCAAGAGATCAGGTGAGGCCCTGAGCCCATCCCTGGCCCTGGCTCCATTATGGGTCTCTGGATCAGAAGGCAGAGCTGGGAGGATGGTGGTGCAAGACCTGTAGAGAGGGAAGAGAGAGAAAAGAAAGCAAAAGACCCAGGATGAGGACAAATGGGGACTCAGTATGAGGGACCATTTGGGTAGGTAGCAGAACAGGGTAATTAACAGTGATGGTGCAGAAGTAAACATGTCTGCATTTAAATCCTAGCTCTGCTACTAGCCTTGGGGAAGCTGCTCATTAGTTTTTGACTCATCTACAGAATGGGAACACAGGGCACAGCCTCAATAAACACCTGCGTATCAAACAAGGTCAGGACCACAATCAGGCATTTGAGTCCGCATTCTGTTGCTTGATAACCGTGGGACTCTGGGCCAAGCACATGAGTGCACTGAGCTGAAGCCTTGAGTCCTCATCAGTAAAACAGTCATGATAGCTGTCCCTGCCTCCAAGAGATGCTAGGAGATTTTAGAATCATGTATACAACTTCTCAGGCATGCATTGTGGATATGGTAGCTGTGGTGGCTAGAATTCACCTGCAGGAGCCGTGCTGTCCTGCTCATATTTATTCCCTCAGACTGGCGCAGGTTCTTCTGATCCACTGACTCCGGCTACTCACTGGCAACACTGCTGTTCCATCTGCTCTGCCCCCCAGGCTCTCTTCCCTCTAGCTCAAGTCCCTCCTTCTCACCAATTTGGTGAAGACCACCAGTCACCAGTAGGGCTTTCCTATGATGTGTGTGGCCACAATCACCCCCCTTCACTCATTCCTCTAACAAATGTTACAGTCATTCAGTGAGCATCTACTGCATATCAGGCCTTGGGCTGTGGACTGGGAAAACAGCTATGAATAAGACATACAGTTACTACATTTGAGAGTAACTTGCATCCTAGTTAGTGAGATAGGCCACAGAAGGTAAATAACTAATTTCAAATGACCTTCACCTGAGGTCATGATAAGAAGATCCATCTAGCTAGGTAAGGGGTGTGAGAGAGGGGAATGGTGGCCCTTGAGAAACTTGAATGAAGAGGAGAGAAAAAGTGACATGAAGGACACGGGGAGAGTAGGTTGAGGAGAAGGGGCAGAAGGTGCAAGGCGCTGAGGTAGGAAAGAGGGTGTTCAAAGGACAGAAAGAATCCCATGTGTCTGGGCAGACAAGGGGGAGAGTAGTAAGAGATGAGGGTACAAAGACGAGTGGGGAATTTAGATTTGATTCCAAGAGCGGCAAGAAACCAGTGGAGAATGGTGAGGGGAAGGGAAGTGCAAGGGACTCTCAGGCTGCCTTGTGGAAAACAGTCTGCAGAGAAACCACAAGCACAGTAGGTGGGGGCCAGAAAGGAATGGCAGCATCTCCAGGGAGAGGTCAGGTGGTCAAACCAAGTGGAAGCAACAGAAGGGCCAGACTCAGGACACACTTTACAAGTGGAGCCACACAGTTTGCTGACGGGAACAATGTGGGGGCAAGGGAGGGAGAGAAGTGAAAGCTCCCAGGGTTTGGCTCCCAGGCAATTGGTGGACCTAGCTACTGAAGAGGGAGGCTCAGCCTGAGAGCAGGGTCTGGAGCTGGCAGGAGTTGTGAGCAACTGTTTGGGGCATTCTGGGACAGCTGGCGGTCCAGGGCTCCCGTGCCTGCCCATGGCACTTGTGAGTGGATCTGATTCCAAACCCCATCACCAGCCCTGCTTTGCAGTCCAGCCAGCCTTGTTCTGCCCCACAAGGCCTAGCCAGGCCTGAGGTCAGCCACACTTCAGGGCCTCTGCTCTTTCCCTTGTAGCATCAACATCACCAATGTGCAGCTGGACTGTGGTCGGATCCAGATGTCTTTCCATAAGGAGTGGTTTTCTATAAATATCTCACTTGAATTTGACATTGAATTGACACTGTGAGTCTTAAAGAAGCTGCCTGTGGGAGGCACTGTTCCTCCTCACTGGGAGCTGGGGGAAATTGGGTGGCCTGCGTAATGCAAATCTTTCTAAACCGCCCCTCTCCCAAATTCATATCCAGGCTTCAGAACTCACTCACTGTGTGACCTCAGGCAAATCACTTCCTCTGAGTCTTGGTTTCTTCAGCTGAAATGCAGATGACAATCATTAGCAATGCAGGCTGTCTGTACCCTTAAACCTAAGTGACTTTACCTCCAGGGGCTAAGGAAAGAAAGAAGGGACAGCCGCTGGGAGCTGGGATTCGTCCTCACCCTGTGCTCATCACCCTCCTGGCCAGGCTGTCCCTTAACATCCACTGCCCCAAGGGAAGGGGCCTGTAGCTAGTTAAATGAAAATGATTTTTAATAACCGTTTTTTCTTTTTTCTTTTTGGCACCAGGGATAGAACTTGGGACCTTGCGCCTGCAAGGCAAGTGGTGCCACCACTGAGCTACATCCCCAGCCCTGGAAATAATTTTTTTTTGTATTAAATTCTTTTATTAGTACATTGTAGGTATACAACACAATTACATTTCTCATTGGGAATTGTACCTTTACATAATGCATCTTT